CTCCGCGAACACTCCTGCAGCGCCGATGACACTCGAGCAAGCCATTGCTGCACTACCTTCGCCGCATGACCCGGCCTCCTTTAGCTACATTGTCAACAGGCACTCTGCCACCATAGCCAAGCAGCCTTCGATTAGGAGCCAATGCCGTGTCTCCAAGCGGGCCGTACTCCGATCAACATCAAGGAGAGTCTTCGGATCTATCGGCAGATCTGTGAAGCGCGCCTTCTCACTCAGTCCGAAGAAACCCAAGTTCGTCATGCCCAAAGAGTCCCTCCACCGCTCATCCTCCCTGTCATCCATGCGCTCTCGTCGTTCTGCGACGAGGATGACTTCCCAAACATCCACCCCCACTCCACCGGCCGCGATCTCTAACCGCAGCGGCACTCCATCGATCCTTGTGACTTCACCCTCAGTCATTGGTGAGAACAAAAGGAGAACGTACACTGTGCACCAGCACAACGGTCCCGTCGCTCCGCTGTCCCCACACCCTATCAAGAGCCTGAGATTCTCTCACCCGCGGATCGACCACATCATCCAGGCTCCTGCTACACCGGCCACTCCATCATTCGTCAACTCTCCCAAGCCAAGTGTGACAATTGACGACTGGCTGGCTGCCAGCGAAACGTCTCCGCAACCATCTTCAAAGGCCGCTGACTTTGCTGGACAGGTTGACCCGATGCGGATGTTCCACGTGTCATACAACGGCTTCCAGATCGAGGGCAACAGTGAAGCGTTCCGGCAGCTTTGCGACAAGCTTGATGGCGCTCAGCGGAAACCCTCTGATCGTGCGCTGCTGCCTTCCCAGCGTCCGCAGCCTCAGAGGGCATCCACCGAGCTGCCGTACACCGCGTACAGGGCTTCGTTGAGCCTTGATGGTGAGTCTGATGCTACTGCAGGTGCTGATAGTGATACAGCCAGAGATCAGCATCGGTCAACTGCACTTGCGGCTCTTGAGTCGCCTGCGCCGATCACGACTGCAGCCCCATCCCAGACGCTTGCCTTACCGGGGAGCTTATTGCCTGGCCTCCAGCCCGTCGAGCGTCGACCAGCGAACCACGCACGTCCTCATACCACGGGCGAGCTGTATGTCCCGTACACCACCAGGTTCAACCCCTTCAATGATGCTTTGCCATCACCCACAAGAGCCGGCGCTGCTCGCCCTGCTGACCGTGACTCAGACGACAGTGACATTCCAAGCTTCGCTGACACTGCTACGCACAGCCAGCATTACAGCCGCGTTGAGTCTGGTATCTTCGACTTTTGCATCCCAACGCTTCCGCCTCATCCGACAAACCCGGAGCCTCCGGCACGTTTCTCGGACACCAGCTACTTCTCTCCGGAGTCACCAGCGTCCGGCGGCGCATCCATCCCGCCGCCGAGCCCGCCTTCTCCGCCAACGTCTTCTGCCGGCCCGGCCATACAGCAGATCAAGCGCAAGCCCGTTGGATCCGGAGTTCCGAACTTCTCTCACAAGCGATCTGTGGACATCAACAAGGCTCTGCCACCACCGCCTAGTGCAACGGATCCACGTCGCTTCACAAACGGTGCTGTCCCCGCAAAGCTGGCCATGAATGCCAACGGCTATCCAATGATAAGTCGTGAGAACACCGCCACCACTGCACTGCCAACGCAGCAGCGACAAAGCGTCAACCCTGTTGATGCGAGACCTCGGCGTGATAATGCGCAGAAGGCTCCGGCCAGTCAAGCCGAGAGGAAGGAAAGGCAGAAGGCCCACAAGATCAGCCACGCTATTGCGAAGCTCCTTTGCTAAGGATAATGGTAAAATGGGCGAGGTTATGGACAGAGTCGTAATATGGGTAGGTTTTCTGTCACAGGTAAGTTTTTGGCGTATTCGTTTTCAGGACGGCGTTTGGGGTTCTTCGGTTAACTGCACTAGGCAGATAATATGTTCGAATAGAAATCCCATCAGCTGGTTCTGATCATTTGAATATACATCTTGGTTATGGTGAACATGGCCGAGCCAAGTACGATACCTTGTTCGAATGGACTGAGCTGATGTGCCTGTTGACGACCGCAGCAATGCAAGGTATCCTTGATGACCTGGAAACGGCTGTCCTTCGACTGAGACTGCAGTATTGCGGTCAAGACGAACGGTGATAAAGCCCAACTCGTTCACTTTAGTAAGTCTGAGTTGCGATGTAGAGCAGTAAGTACCAAGAATCTGCAAGACATCGGAGAAGAAGAGCACCCTTGATCCCTTCCAGTCTGTACGGTTGTTGTTTACCTTTGCGTTCCTGTGTCTAGGGTTTGTACATGGCTATTGACTTCTCTCCATCTATGACCACGCCGAGAGGAGTCATGCCCTGATATGCCTGTGTGCTAAAGTTGATTGTGAAGTATGCTATGGTACATGAGTCTTTTGGTGGTACAGAACGCCCAAAAGTAAGCCAAGATTACTCCCTCGTATGCAAGATATTGTATAAAAGAAAAGCCATGTAAATGCAGTGCTGAACGTATATTGACGTGCGGTACGGTCCTGGTCTGCGTTCTCGCGAGTCGCCGCGTTTCATGAATCGTGGGCGTCATCGTAATGCAACGCCGCACTAAGTGCCGTGTCTGCTCTGTCGTGGGTTCGTTAAAGTCTGCTGTGGTCCAGCCACAGATGAAGGTCGTTGTCGTCGTGCGTGGCCTTACCACTGATCGATGGAGTCCAGCAGGCCCATCAGCTCAACGCCAATGGCCTCAGTGCCCGCCTCATCCGTGAACTGTGTGTCTTTGATCTCATGCGTGCGCATGAAGATGTCGACCACGCTCGGAATAGGATAGTAGAACTCCTCGAACGGGAACGGAGGGATGACAGCACGGTGCTGCCAGTTGACCGTCTCGTTGCCGTCCACGCGCGGCAAGCCTGGGAAGCGACGGTGCAGCTTGTCCGTGGCGATGCGTCCATCACCCTCGTACTCCATCTCGTGCTTGCTCGGCCATGGCGCGATCTCCTCCTTGTGGATGCGCCATTGCGGGCAGAAGATGGTCGGCTCGCAGAGGACGTTGCTGCGGCTGATCTCGAACTCTTTGCCGCCGAAGGCCTCAGGTTTCACGGGTGCGACGACCACTGGCGGCAACCCGAACTTCTTTCGCTTCGTGTCCTCTGCCGCCAATCTTGCCTTCTCGTCGGGCGGCACCCGAGCCCTCCTAGCTTCTCCATCCTTCCACTCCCTCTTGTGTTGCTCCAAGTCGAAGTCGGCGTGCCAGAACGGTGACTTCGGACAGAGCTTGCGGCGTGCTTCATTCAGTTGGAGGTTACCGCGCTTCGCCTTGTACGTCGGCGATTGCCACTTCATCGAGTTGGTGTGACGCCATTGCTGCGCGCTCATTTCGGCTTGATGGCTGATGGCTGATGGCTGATGTTGTTGATGTTATGCTACTGCGCCGATCTCATGATGTCAGTGTGGTCGAAGAAGGGGTTCCCATCAGAGCGCAAAACGTTGATTGTAGCGGAAAGCTCACTCATGTGCTCCACGAGGTCCCGGAAGCGGCTCAGTGCGGCCTTGATGTCAAGCCTTGATGATGGGCATCAATATCCTCTTTCATACCAGCGCGATGGCAGAAGTGGGGGTTGACGACACCTCCTCAATAACACCAGCTCTGGGGATGACAAGGCCGCCCTTGAGAGCTCGCTGGTTTGGCTGCCGGTGCGGAGGCACAGCACGAACAGCAACAGAAGAGGAGAAGGGAGATGTTACCAACCTGATGATGTGTACGCCCGGCCCTGCAGAGACACAACCCTCCGCAGGCTTGCTGTGCTCCTAGCGCGTGCGTCTCAAGTGCCGAAGCTGTCGACGCCGCTGCACGCAATAGGTCGTGGATGTACTAGAGTACTTGTTGATGGACAGTTGGGTTGGCTGGATGTGTTGGCGACACTGGCAAGCCGATATGGACTTTGCTCGTGACCTGTATGGAAGATTAGTATCAAACGCAGTCTCTTTGGGCAAAGGGGCGCAAGGCAGCCGTGCGCTTGATATTGCAGGGTACCCACGTGGCTGCTATTGTCTGCGTAGGCATCAATGGTCGGTGTGCGGCTATTTCAAAGCCGACACCAATCCCCGAGGAATAGATGTCACGGTTTGGCAATGCTCAATCGCAAAAGGGTCTCAAGAGGGCTCAAGCCGTGAGTATGACAAGCCGCGGTTCGCCGACGTGGAAGTGGAAGGTAGGCTGTGAAGCGGATATGGGGAGAGGGACGACGATAACGAACCTGATGTTGCGAGCCTGAGCATACGTCGGCTAGTCACGATAGTGCCTGCTTCGGAGCTTGTCTCGGGTTTCACTCTGGTGCGGGTGTGTCGAAAGCTAGTCGAGTACTGATGCCCTGATGTCGATTGAAAGGGATGTATGCTGTTGCCAGCACCACTGGTTGTTATCGAGTGACCGACTTGGGGTATGTCCAGCGCCGAAGGCGCATGGGATATGCGGATCGACGGTGGGCCGTATGCAAGACGAGGTGCTGGTGACGAAGCAAGATTGGTATGGATGTCCGTGATCAAGATTGAAAGAACTGACGGATCTCAAAAGGATCTGGAAGAGGTCGTGAATGTTGTTGCTGGCAAGAGCAATGGATAGCAGTGGAACAGAATATGCAGTGCGGCAGAGTTCGGCAAACTAGGAGGTGAAGTGAGGCCTATGACACGTGATTGGCGGGGCGAGTGGTGGCGAGAAGGAAAATGTACGGCCGAATGCGGCAGGAGGAGAAGAGCATACAGGCCTGTGGCAATCACAAACGGCACGACTTTCGAACTTGACCAAGTGCGCGATCACAGGAGTGTTTGTTCTGCAGGGGACCACAGTTATAGGACTCACCATCTTCGAGCCTTCAAGTTACACCTTCGTCTGCAGAAGGCTCGATGACATTACTCTTTCGTCCATGTTCCGGCTTATGATACCCTCTCTGAAGCCGTCGTGTTATGGCGACCGCCTACGGATGTGCACGAAGTATTGTAGGGGCTGTGAATGGAGTCACGCGCTTGCCATGCAAAAAGGTATGGAAATCCCGCGAATCGAACCCGGATCTCTGCGGCGCTGCTGCTCGCCAGCCTCCTGGGACACAACCCCCAGGACCGCAGTGTCCTACCATTGGACCAGATTCCCAGCTGTAGTCGGAGCGAAAAGAGGCCAGTAGAAGTAGGTACGTGGTCTCCGACCGACGTTGAGGCAGGATGCAGGATGCAGGGCTGCTTGCAGCTCGTCGTTTGCTTCGTGAAGGACCTTCAGATCGGCGTTCGGCGGGTGAGGTTCATGGAACTTGCGCCTGCGAACGGGCTGCTGCAGAAGTGTATGCAGAGGACGAGGAACCGGCTACTATGCGCTCATGGGGCATCCTCACGATCTCAGTAGCTTGTGCCTTCCGTCTCTTCGCTTCACGGTCTCAAAAAGGGCGTGCTCAACGGGCAATTAAGCTGCTTGGTGGTCCCGCTTGCGATCGGTTGCGCAGACAGCCTGCTGGTCGGTGGTAGGCCTAGATCTAGAGACGAGACGGCCGAAGCAACAGACAGTTCGAAGTCTCTACCTATTGCGATTCGGACGACGCCGGTTCTGATTCGTGCGCGACGGTGCGCCCTCAAAACAGAGATGCCCCCTGCAGGCTTCCAACTGCCATGGGATGCTCATCGTGGCGAGTGAACATAGTTAATAATGAGTCCGTGGTATCCCGTACGTAGGCACAGCAGCAGCAGCAGCATGTTGTCGCGCTCAGAAAGCCGCAGAACCAAGTTCTGCTCAGAAAGCTGGTCGGCTACGTAGCTAGCGTCTCGACGCCACAACTGCTTCAAATAGGGCTGAGCACCCGCGCACCTCATGAAAGCGTGCGGACGCGCTCCTCTTCGCTGCTACGGCAGAGTCGAGGCGCGCGCCCGACGACTCCATCGATATGAGACTGGACTGGCAACGGTAATGCGACAAGGGTACTAATACTCGCGGTCGCGCGACACTCCCTGCGACCGCGAGGCAGAGATGGCAGGCCCTCCGCGCGCCGGACAACGACCAGCTCAGTACGACGAGCGCCCACCACTGTCACGAAGCGCAAGAAAGGCGCCTCGCCATCTCTTTGTTCGACCTCGCTCTGGCAAGAATAGCAAACAAGGACGACTGGCCTTCGCAGCGTCCTCCTAAGCGCTGTGCCTCTCGCGCGCATACGGAAACCATCCGTGCGCCGAAGGCGAAGCTTCACTTTCCAGATCCCGGTTGGCCATGATTGGCTGCAGGCGGTGGATCGCCTTCGCTCGACATTCGAGAACGATGCGTCTGTGTTTCAGACAATGGATACACTGAGTATTCGTGGCCGCATGACAGGCCACGCCGATGTTCACATGGTGCGTCATTGCCTTATTGTTCTTCCGCAGTCTTAGCCAATTTGGCCGAATTTTGCTATTGTCAGACTCCATTGTTCTGCTTCTGTACCTTTGCTTCCGGCATCGAGAACTTCGACGACGTGACGAGTTTCCTTTGTGTGTTCCTCTTTCCCACAGCTACGGCCGCCTGCACCAGCAGTCACTGCAGTACCCACATTAATCGCTCACGCGTGCTTTGGTCACGTTATCCTCCTGCACAACACCTGCTACGACACTTCGATTGCCGTCAAACACACTTCCTCGCCACATATTACTCCTTCGAAGATTTTCTGCGCGCCACTGGCTGGTTCGCACAAAACTTACACCCATACTAATACGATCACCACCGCCAGGCGCGTCGAGACTTCCACCGCTACCAGCCACCATGGCCTCCTCAGCGAACCTACAGCAAAACCCCAATCCTGCACCTCCATCTCTTTCTGTAAGTGTGATCATGGGTGGGATCTTGCCAGTGTCTGAGATTCATGCTGACTCTCTCAAGGCTGGCGACCATGAGATGCGCGACTACTACGCATCGCAGGACGCATCACGACCTCCCTTACAACAAGAACCATACCTGACACCTTACCTCGGTCTTCGAGCGAGACTCTCGCAGACATGGATTAACCGGTAAGTCTCCGCAGTGCCATATCAGTGCCTTCGTTTTCGCTGACAATGTATCTCAAGATGGACCATCCTCTTACTTCTAGTACTGATACGAACACTTTTTGCGATTGCGAGCCTGGATGACAATCTGGGCCAGGCGAGGAAGCAGGCGCTGAGCGCCTGCACTTCCGTGGAGAACGTTGGCTCGGCTATGGCGAGCATGCCCTACTACATGAGCCAAGGCGTCAACGAGCTGAGCGCCGCCGGCATCGAGAAGGCTATTAACGGGCTTATGCAGATGCTGATACTCAGCATCACCGGCATCGAGGAAATCGTGGTCTTCATCATCAACCTGCTGACCTCGACTTACGTTTGCCTGATCACGCTCGCGGTTGGCGGCAGCTTACAAGTCGCCATCAGCATAGCAGAAGACGTAGGAAGTTTTCTCAACAGCACCGTCAAGGATGTCGGCAAGGACCTCGGCGGCGCGGCTACGGACTTCCAGAGCGCCATGAATGGCTTTTTGGCCGATCTCGACAAAGTCGCCTCCGTCCTTTCCGGCAAAAAGCTCACGCCTCCAACTATCAATCTCACTGGCGAAATCACCAAGCTCGATGGCCTGCAGCTCCCTACCGACTACGATGCCGATTTGCAAAAGCTGAACTCCTCGATCCCGACCTTCGCACAAGTCAACAACTTCACCAACAACGCCATCAAGCTTCCCTTTGAAGAAGTCAAGAAGCTACTGAATGAGAGTCTGCCCAAGTACACTATGAACCGGTCACTGTTCCCTGTCCCGGACAAGCAGCAGCTCTCGTTCTGCTCCGACAACGACGGCATCAGCGACTTCTTTGACGACCTGGTCAACATTGAGCGACTAGCCAAGAAGATCTTCCTTGTTGTTCTCATCATACTGGCCGTGCTGGCTATGATACCGATGGCCTACCGAGAACTTCGGCGCTGGCGTTTCATGAAGGAGAGGGCGAAGCTGATCAAGAGCGACTGCGATCCTATGGATGCGGTCTACCTCGTCTCTCGGCCCTACACGTCCAGTGCCGGCCTCAAGCTGGCCTCGCCGTTCAAATCCAGCAGACGCAGAGCGCTGGTGAGGTGGAGCGTTGCGTACGCCACTACCGTACCAGCTCTCTTCGTTTTGTCGCTGGCTATCGCTGGCTTACTGGGCTGCTTGTGCCAATATATCCTTCTCAGAGCAATCGAGAAGGACGTGCCGGCGCTTGAGAACCAGGTTGTCGGCTTCGCGGACAAGGTGATCAACCAGCTCAACAATGCTTCTCAACAGTGGGCGACTGGGACAAATGGCATCATCAACGATACCAACACGAAAATCAACGACGATGTCTTCGGCTGGGTCAATACTACGACCGGCGCTGTGAACAATACGCTCAATGTGTTTGTTGATGGGATGATAGACGTGCTCAACGTGACCTTCGGCGGCACGATACTCTATACACCAATCCTGGACGTCCTGAACTGCTTGGTGATCCTGAAGATCGAAGGCATCGAGAAAGGCTTGACCTGGATCAGCGACAACGCCCATATCGACTTCCCCCTGTTGCCCAATGACACTTTCAGCCTCGGGACGCTCCAGAAAGTCTCCGGATCGGAAGCGGACATCCTCAACACGGGTACGAATGGCGGCGCAGCCACTGATATCGCGGACGCGGTCTATCATGTCACCAACATGATTGCCAAGGCTATCCGGCAGGAGGCTATCATATCCACCTGCGTTCTGCTGATATGGGTCTTCATCGCTTTGATTGGTATCGGCAGAGCCTGCTTTCTCATATTCAAGGGCGGCGATAGCGGTACCTACGTCAACACGCGGGCGACTGATCGTGGTCCACCGCCCGCAGAAGACAGGCGTGAGCTCGATGAGTTCTTCGCTTCTGGTGGCTTACCTCGCGTGCCAACTTATGAGCAAGCTACCAGGCACAGTATTACCGAGCCGGGCGACCACTCAGCCAACAAGTACAACGGTCAAGCCTACACTCTGACGCCGCACCCGGTGCCAATACTGGAAGTCCACAGCGCCACCTCGCCGAGCCTCAGTTCCGGCTTCAGCCCTCAACCGGAGAAGCTGGGCAACGTCAACGGCCAAAACGTCGACGCCGCCATCCGCCGACCGACTCACATTCGCTCCTCAAGCCACGGGGACTACGGCCTCACCTCGCCTACATCACCACCATATCCGACCCACAACGGGTTCCTCAGTACTACTCCAAGGCCCATCGCCGACGAGAAACCTTTTAATCCATTTGCCGACCCTATCCGCTGATAGCTGGAAATCATGCGCCGGCTATCAATCCCGCACCTGACCTTTCCAATCCTTCTCCCCAAGTGCATAGGGAGTTGGAGCGCTCTGAGTCTCCCGTGGGATCTGCGGGCAGGCAAGGCACTGCAAGATTCTTTAATCATGCTCAGACCGACGGGTGTCAGGTCTTATATCTGCCTCCTCCTTTTTGCTGCTGCTATTGCGCGCAAACTTGTTGAGAGAGGCAGACGCACCATGCAGCTCCGCGCTGGTATCTGCGAAACACAAACTGTGTTCTTTTTGTGAGCGTTCTTGCGTCGTGCTCTGCTCCTGCGTTTTCAGCGTTTGCGAAACCCTCTTCGCCTCCTTCCTCGGTGGAAGGCAAGGCAGAGCTTACAGATACCCTATCAACGACTACGATTTGATTGGACGCACTCGAGCTCACCTTGGGATTCACTGTATGCGAAGGAGAGAAGAGCGATTGTATTTCCTTGGTATTGTTGCGGCACTTGGTAACCCCTTCCATCCTGCTCCTCTGCTTCATGTTTTCTTGGCTGGTTGGGAAGATACCGCTGCTTTTGCTCGGGCGTGTGGAAGCCGGTACTCTGTTTTGCAGCTTGGTGCGTGGCTTGCGTGGCCGGTACTCTGTTCTACCACTTGGGTTGTCATCTGCGGCCGGTACTTCAAGACATCATGTGTGGCTTTGCCCCGGGTGTCAGGGGGATGCGGTCACGGTGGCACTTTTGGGTGTGAGGATAGGGATGCGGTCGCGGGCACGTCTTCGATCTGCGGACAGGGATGCGACTACCTGCACGCTGCTGGGCGATGGCGGAGATGCACTTGCACCAGGCGAGAGGGAAGTAAGAGCCGGACAATTGTTGCCA